TATTACAGTGGTACCTCGGGTTACATACGCTTCAGGTTACACACTCCACTAACCCAGAAATAGTGCTTCAGGTTAAGAACTTTGCTTCAGGATAAGAACAGAAATCAGGCTCCGGCAGCACAGCGGCAGCGGGAGGCCCCATTAGCTAAAGTGGTGCTTCAGGTTAAGAACAGTTTCAGGTTAAGAACGGACCTCCGGAATGAATTAAGTACTTAACCCGAGGTACCACTGTACATCTAGAGAGTGATATTACTATTAAGCCCATAATCTAAAATTTCCAAATTCCATCACTGCATGCTCACTTCTCATTGGATAGGTTTTTTTTGGGGGGGGGTCCCCTCACCCTCAACATTTTGTATTTCTGCAAACCTTGGGATTTCTCAGACCTGTTGCTATCTCCCTCTTGTGCATGGCTGGCACTGTTTCAGTGACATGATCCACCCTCAAATGAGTTTGCCAATACAGTGGTACCTCGGGTTAAGTACTTAATTTGTTCCGGAGGTCCGTTCTTAACGTGAAACTGTTCTTAACCTGAAGCACCACTTTAGCTAATGGGGCCTCCTGCTGCCACTGTGCCGCCGCCGCACGATTTCTGTTCTCATCCTGAAGCAAAGTTCTTAACCCGAGGTACTATTTCTGGGTTAGCGGAGTCTGTAACCTGAAGCGTCTGTAACCTGAAGCGTATGTAACCCGAGGTACCACTGTAATCGAGTTTCTTAAAAATAGAACACAATCGCCAGCTCCTCCCTCTTTCCCTGTACAGTGGTACCTCGGGTTAAGTACTTAATTCATTCTGGAAGTCCGTACTTATTTCTGGGTTAGCGGAGTCTGTAACCTGAAGCGTATGTAACCTGAAGCGTATGTAACCTGAGGTACCACTGTATAGAGCTCAGTGTGTGATGGAGTCCAGTTAGTGACTGCTTAATCCAATGCTCATTTCTCAGTTCACGTTTATTACATGGCACAGCTGCTGAGGAGGCGGGCTGACGAATTGTACTTTTACAGAAGACCTTTTGGGGTGTTCTTAATGCCACGGGAAGCCATGGGGATGAGCATGTTAGCTCCACCCCTATGGCTGAGCCAGTCACTCTGCCATTTGTGAAGGGTCTGAAGCTGTAATTGTGGAGAGAAGTACAGGAAGCTCCCCGCTTCAGCCAGTTGCCCTCCAAAAGCTTGAAGGCAGGTGGAGTAGCAACGGGAGTGTGAGAATAATGCACTCATCCCTGTGGCCCATGCCCATATGTTTACTGCACATTTAAGAAGACTTTGTTGAGAACCAAAATAGCATCCCCACAACTCTCTCCCCCCCCCCCCGCTTTCAATGGCACGCACAAATCGAGGCTGGAGAGGCAGGGAAACAGCATGCCTCTGGGAATCCGACGCTCATCAAAGCAACCGCTTCATGCCGAAGCTTGCAAATGTGGGTTGACTTGCAGTCCAGGTTTACGAGCAATCATATGAAGATGTTAGCAAGAAGCCAATGCAATTTTGGGCTGGGCTAGTCTCTCCCTCCCTCCCACTTGAAGCTGAGGCTCCAAGACTTTGGCCACCTCATGAGAAGAGAAGACTCCCTGGAAAAGACCCTGATGTTGGGAAAGATGGAGGGCCCAAGGAGAAGGGGACGACAGAGGACGAGATGGTTGGATAGTGTTCTCGAAGCTACCAGCATGAGTTCGACCAAACTGCGGGAGGCCGTGGAAGACAGGAGTGCCTGGCGTGCTCTGGTCCATGGGGTCATGAGGAGTTGGACACGACTAAACGACTAAAAAACAACAGTCTCTCCCTCCCACTTGAATAATATAGGGGAGGCATTTGCCCCACAAAATCAATCACAAAATGTGGTGCTGACACACCATTTGAATGGTAATGCCCATAAACTTGGGGGGGCCTCAAAAAAATTGGGGGTAGTGAAAGGACCTCAGCCCCTAGGAGTTGGCTGCTATGCTAATAACAACAACAACCATTTTATTATTTATACCCCGCCTCTCTGGTTGGGTTTTCCCAGCCACTCTGGGCAGCTTATAGAGTTGTCATGAGGGTAAGGGAGGTCAAATCCTGCATGCCACCTTGAGTTCCTTGAAGTGAAGGGGGAATACATATGTAGAAAATAAATTGCTGATCCAGTCCCACTGTGGCTGCATGAATGGATCCTTATTCATAGAAGGGACAGTGAAGGTCATATGGTCCAACTTGCTTCTCACAGTGCATCTGTAATGCAGGATGCAACCAAACCCTAACAGATGGCCTTAACAGAAGATGCTTAGGGACCTTCAGATGACTTCCTGGCCAATTAAACACCCAGAATATCTCGGCTTGGCCAATAAAATCTATATACCATCGGTGCACGAACGTTTCCTTGTTTCTTTCTTTCTTTCTTTCTTTCTTTCTTTCTTTCTTTCTTCAATTTAAAAAGTGTTTGCAAGTGCTTGCCCTCTCTCTTCAACTCCACGGATCTGGGAAACAGTGAGAGGGAAAGTTTTATTCATATTAAAAGAAGAATAAGGGAGGAGCGGGGGGGGGACACACCTCCCCTAACTTTCCAAAAAGTCAGTGTGTCTAACATTCAAATATAGCCACCGAGCAAACAAGACAGCTTAATTGTTTGCTTCTCTAAGGGAAGGAGCTAAACCCGGAATTAATTTGGCTCAGCTTGTGAAGCAATCCGTTTGCTCTGCTTAATTCTGGCAATTAAAGAAGTTTTCTCAGACACAATTAACATGTAAATCAGCCGCGGAGTGAGGGGTGCGCGGGGGGGATGCGGGGGGCAGGCTGGGGGAAACAAGGAGTATGCAAAGGCGATTGGCCGCGGGGGGTGGGGGGGACGAGACTCCTTCCTCTCGCACTGCGCCGCCTTGGCCGCTGGGGGCGCTGGTGGCCCTCTCCTAGTTATCTAAGTAGCAGCATTAGGATTAGCGGCAGCCAGTCGCTTTCCCAGGCGGGAGGGGCCTGGGAAGCAGGAGGAGTAATTTATTAGCGCTGCTACTGCTCTTCCCTGGGCTGATTGGCTCCGAGACAGGGACGGATTAACCCAGCCAGTAGCTCTCGGGCTGGGATTTGGGGGAAAGGGAGGGCGGGAGAGGAAGAAAGGCGAGCGGATGGGAAGGACCGTGCCAAAGATCTCCCCCGAGGAGCATCGCAACGCGCTGCCCAGCCCGGGGGACGTCCGATTAGCATTCTCCGCGCACGCAGCTCCGGCGATTTATTTGTTTTCGCCCGGAGCCCTGGAAACTCGAGCAAAGCGGGACGGGCGCGCAGGTTGCATGCGAGAGCATGCGCGCATCCCGAGGAGGGACCGGGCTCGTCTCCGCACCCGCTGCAAGGCGCCTAGGTTTTAGGAGGGTTTGGTCAGAGGCGGGGAACTGGGCCAATACCCAGTTGCAGCCGGAGCCCTGTCACCTTAACGGGCCCGATCCTGTTACCCAAAAACAAGGAGTGGTGATAGCGCGCTGTTCTTGCAACGCCTTGGAGCGGGATCGCGGTGGGCGACCAAACTTTTCGCAAGTTTGATCAGCCCTTGCTCCGCTGTGACTTTTAGAAAAGGGGGAAAGGGAAAAACTTTACTGGTGAAGCGTCCCCTTCTGGCCAAAGAGACGAACAGCAAGAAGCGAATTCCCCAGCTGTTACACGACTCCTCTCCCTTGGCTATAGACCCCTCGCCGTTACGCAGAAGGGAAAAACTCAGATTTGCGCGCTGTAAAACTCAGAGCCATTCGGGAGGCGTGCTGGCTTAAGGATCGCCGGCCCCGCCTGGCATTTCGGCTGCTGCGGTGCCGTCTCCCGGTAACGCTCCCTTTTCTTTCGTACACAGGCACACATGGGCCCGCTTTATTAATCCCTTCCCCATTTTTTCTTTTCTCCAGGGCTACAAAAAGAATCCATATTATGCAGTCCTTCTTTCCACGCGCCCCCCCCCAGCAAACTCTGTTGGTCTCCTCTTTCGCCGTCATTACGGGCAGAATCCGTGGAAGTTGGATCCGAATCATAAAAACTAAATAAACTACAGGGCGATTAGACAAGGGCAGCTGGACTGTCAAGTCAACTTAAATGGCTTGGTCTCACAAGGTGTCACAAGACGCTTGCTAATTTTGCTGCTTAGGAAAGGACACTAAGGTTGGGGAAGAAAGAGAAACGACGTTTTTTTGCTAACTTTGGGCATGGTTCCCATATCTATCCACCTATATATTTTAACACAGGCATTGTTTTTTTCCTTTGCCAAGATAAAGTTCGAGGAAGAAGGAATATGGGTACAACGTTGAGGTAGATCCCCAAGAGTTTGTTTTTAAACACACACATACGTTTTCCATATTGGAAAAACTAAAAGTCTCCTTATTGTGGGTAAGTCCAAAATGGTCAGATCAAAATACAGACGAGAGGTTGCTTTGGTTTGAAGTCCTGCCCCCATTATTGATTAGAGTGCAGCTGTTGTCAATGAGGACATTAGCGCGTTTGTGTGGGTGAAAGATTCTGGAAGTAGGTTGCAATCCTCTTTAAAAAAAAACTTATGCTAGGCTCGTTCCGAAAGATTATTCTTAAATTGTGAGCAGAGTTCCTTTTGCGCACGCTTTCCGCTGGCAACGCTTTGTTGCAGTGGTGAAATCCTCCTCGGTATCGCCGTTTGAATAAGGAGGACTTAACACATCGCTTTAAAGTTTAAACTTCTCAATTTTTAAAAAATCGATGAACAAATCCTTTCTCGCAGCTCGTCTCTGGTAGAGTTTCTTCGCAGGCTTTCTTCCTCTTCTTCCTTTTCAAACAAATCTCTTTTTTTATTTAATTAGGCAGAAGAAACTTTCTCCATGTTCCCTGGTTTCCCATCAGAATCCCCATCACTTACATCGAATGTATGCACAGAAGAGAGCGCGGAATAAAGGGAGGGCTCCCGATTTCTCTTTTTTCTGTGGGTGTGTTGGCACTTTGCCCGCGCCCACCCACCCTTCCCCCATGCCCTCCTCGCACCCCCCCCCCCACCACCAAAAAAACCCACACACACATTCATGGGCTGGCTGTTTGAGAAGTGGGCGAAGGTGGATGTCATGCTCGGGGCAGTCCGTTTCCGCGGAATCCAGCCCGGGATTTGACTCCACCTCCAGCCAAGCTGCTTCCCAGTGACAGAAGAGTTGGGACGGAGACTCGCAGTGGGAAGAGAGGCAGGGCGCGGGGAGATCGGGAGAGAAAGAGAGAGAGAGCGAGAGAGGCTGCTGCGAAGTCCTCCCCAAACACACACTTCAATGACCAGGCGAGCTGGGGCGAAGCGCGCTCTCCTGCCGGGGCACAAGCAGCTCTGCCTGCCGACGAGGAGTTCCCCCCAAGACGCCTCGCCCGCCGGGAGCACTTTTTCGGAGGGGCAGCGCAAGACCCTGAAAGGACTTCTCCTCTCCCACGACCCGTCGGAAGGGGACTTACTGGAGTGGCAGCGCGAGTGGCCTCGGGAAGAGGAGTAACCGGAGCTCTTTGATTTCCCCCTCCCCACACCCAACCCTTTCCCCCCCACCCTCCGTGGAGATGGACACATCGCAGCCCCCAAAGTCGAAATATTGAATCTTTCCCCCCCACCACCACCCAAAACCTCCACGCGCCGCCGCCCCACGCGCGCACACATACACACACACACACACGCCCCGCTCCCCCTAGGACGCACGCCGGTAATAATGACAAAGGATTGCACAGGCGAGAGTGGATCGAGTTTCGCAGAGCGATCCCCTTAAATGGATTACTAAATGGGACACTCCATCAGCTAGTCCTGTCCTCGCAAGCCTCCCAGATACATGCACCGACGAGGTACGTGAACTCCTTTTTCCTCTCTCTCCTCTCCCCCCCCCCCATCCCCATGCACTGCGCTGCTGCTTCTCTGCGCTCCGGGATATGCACGAGGGCATTGTTCCGGGCTGCGTTTTAAAGCGCGGGGAGCTTGCAGCGCCAGGTCCTGCAGGACAGCAGAAGGATGGTGAAGCGGCGGCGGCTGCAGAGCCAGGAGACGGCGAGGACTGCTCGGGCACGCTCCGTGCTGGAGCCACTTTCTCTCCCCTGACCCGGGTCCGTGTTAGTGTGTGCGTGTGTGTGCACGCGCGCAGCACAGTTTCCCGGGGAGGGGAGAACGCCTGATTTCTCTTGCCCTGCTCTTAATCTTGCACGAACTGGGCGCGTTTGTTTTGTTGCAAAAGCGCGCCGCCAGCGCCCTCCCTCCGCCCCGCGCCCTCGCTTTCGCGGTTCGGGGACACTTTGCCCGGGAGCTGCCCGCTTGCTTGGCCGCCGCGGGGAGGGGCGGCTGCCGGGCTGTGAACCACACACACACACACACCCCGCCTCGGTGGCAGGCAGTGCAGCCGCGCCGCTCCGAGCCCGGCTTTTCCCCGTCGCTCCGCACGAGGCTTCCTTGGGGGGCGAGCGGGATGGGCGTGGAGTCTTTGTTTCGGAGACAATGTGACGGCGGAGGAGAAGCGGCGGCGGCGAGCGGCGGGGGCAGGTGGGCTGGCGAAGCCGTCGGGCCAGGAGGGAAACTTGGGGCTGAGGGAGAGGCGGACCCCCCTGTCCCCCCCCACCCCCGAGCTCGCCTTCCCCTGCCGGGGCCAACGCCTCTCCTCCGCCCTCGGCCCAGTGACCGGTGCCCACCCTGGTCCCTTGGGGGGGGGGAGCAGCGTGTGTGACGGCGCCGCCCGTCTCCGGCTTTGTTTGCGAGATTGGGGACGGGGCTTGGCGCGGGCGGAGGGCTGCTGCTGCTGCTGCTCCTCTCTCTTCCCCCTGTTGCACCCCGCGGATGAGGGGAGGGGCAGCTGTCGAGTCGGTTTCTCTCTGGAGAACTGACGGGAGAAAGCGAAGTAGGAGAGGCGTTTGGTGTCTGTGGGGAGAGCGGAGCCGCGCAGGGCAAGGTTCCTGCCCCTTCTTTTTAAGGGGGGAAGAGGAGCAGGAGTGGCGCGCTCGCGGGTTCCTCTCTCTCCCCTCAAGTCCCTCCTGCAGCCTCCGCGGAAGGGAGGAGTTAATAACGGGGCTCCTTCCCTTTCTCTTGCCGCTTGTGTGTGTGCAGGCAACTCCTGGGGGGCCGAGGTACCTTTGCTCCCTCCCCCAAATACAATATCTGAGGGGGCCGCCGCCTCCCCAAGTTGATGGACATCGCCATTCAAACACGCCGTGTCTTGTGATCAATTATGCGGGGCGAGGCTAAACTCTCCCCCCCCCCAATATTTTATTTAAGTTGGCACCCGTGTGGTTTTCTGTGTGCACACCTCCTCCACCCGCTTATGGGTGTCCCTTGACCACCGAAAGCATGGGAGATGTCTCTAGACCTAGAAGTGGAGAGGACAATGGGGTTTACACAACACCTTCGAAGAGAACTTAGGAAGGTGTAGCTGAAGGTTGCTTGCCCTTTGCTCTGGGCAAAAGAGGGGAGAGGACGCTCGCGTGTGATCCTGCACAGGTAATAATGCACATTACCTGAGGGGGAATGCTAGAGAAGGAGAAAGGGAAGCGCTAGAGAAAGGGCCAGGCAACGTGGTCCCTTGCAAAACAGAACTCCTTGTGCTATTAAGTCCTTTGTATAATATAGTATTGGGAGACTGACCTGTTCCTGAGGCACTGGGGTGACATGTTAATAAGTTATTGTGATGCATATTGTGAAGCCATGGGCACTTCTGTGCATACCACCCTCTGCTTGGCTAGCAGGGATTAATTTGAGCCAGGGATTAGCTGACAAACCCTTTTTCAACGTATTACTTTCTGTAATAGTGAAGGGGCGTGCCTTTGAGCATGTGCAGAGTGCCTTTCCCTCGCCACTTTAATAACCACAGCCAGCTCCCCTATTTGGGGTTAAGGGAATAGGATTTTGGGGGCAGACAGTAGTACAGTTTCTATGCAGCCCCCCGAAACCAAGTACCTCTTATTTTAGAAACTATCACTGCCCCCCAAACATCATGTTTCAGTTGTTCTCCCCTAACTTCCATTTGACACTAGGGAATGGTGTGGACGTGGAAAGTCCTTGGAAAGAAATTTTTGTTCCCTCAAAAGTGCTGACTGGATGAAGATAATGCCCAAAGACTGGAGAAGAAAGGAGTCAATGGGAGTTCCCCGCTCACTGGGGAAGGAGATGCAGCTCATGGGAAGCTGCTAGGCCCCCTCCCAGCACTGCCCAGACTTCTTTGGAATATTAATAAAAAAGAGGTCAGTGGGAGATTCTCTCAGTATTACCACCTTAAGTCAGCCCAGCAGCTGAAGGGAGAGCAGAGGCTGTTGGCTGGTGCTGGTGGTGTGTTAGCTGTTAAGGTGTGCTGGCTACATGAGCCTGGAAAGCTCTGGGCTGAGAGTAATGTGTATTAAGTGCTCTGGCTGTGAATTTGCATGAGTGAAAGTGGGAAGCCTGCAAATCCCCATGTGTTGTTTTCCCTGCCTCCTGGTCTGTTGGAGAAGTGGAGCAGAACTGAGGCAGCTCAGGGGAGTTGGGGGGGGGGAGGGAGGCTGGGAACTGCTGGCTTGGTTTCCCTGGAGCATCATTCGGCAGAACAGTCTACAGCAATCTAGGCAAAGGGTTCTGGATCCAGACCCGGGGAAATCCAGTTTGGGTATTGTCAGGTTCCAGGAACTATTGCTGGAACAAGTTTCAAGGTTTTCTTAGAGAAGGGGGGCGGGGACTTGTAGAGATGATGGCTGGTTCACACAGTGTTTTGTTTTGCAGAAGTTTCATGGAAAGAGAAGTGAAAATCCGCTTGGTTGTGGTGACTGAAAAGCAGAGTTCAAGGCTGAATGTAAAAATAAATAAATCACAATCTCTCTTGAGTTTTCATTCAGTTTTAGCAAAGTGAAAAATGGAGTGCTGTGGTTTATGGATATAGTTATCTGGGACCAGTGAATTTCTATAGCTGGCTTCGTTGTGCAATGCTTATTGTTTTCTTAGCATTTGTGTTCCTAAACCCTGTATGCATATTTTTGTATATCTGCTCCCATTTTTGTGAAGGAAACTATTATTTCCCCAGGAGTGGGTTCTTATAAATATAATGGAAAACCTGTAGATTTAAGATTGTTCAAATAGGAAACAATCAGTTTGGTTTGTTTGTGATGGGAATATTTTGTCATCCACAACACAATGGAAGTTAAATCATCATGAATGCATCAAGCGATTTCTATTAAACCGAAGTTACCAACACACATCATAATTCAGAACCAAGGTTAATTATTAGCCTAACATTAAATAAAAGTGGCAGAATTCTGTCTCCAACTATTGTTCTTTTATATTCTACTATTTTTGTGAAAGACAATGTTGTTTTTGTATTGTGACCTTTGTTTTAAAAAGCAGACAAACCAGTTGAGACTGTTGGAATGTCACGTTTTTGGTCTTGATTCTGCCATCCTTGTTTCCTGGACTTGCTGCTTTTCTAGGAATATATTTCCGTAGGGTAGAGGGAGGTGCTATAAGAAAGCTTGCAGGATGGCTCTGTTGATACCTAGAAATATTACTTTCCAAAACCCCACAGAGTTTGTAGTTTTTTTCTGCTTTAATTAACTGCTCCACAGAGCATATCCTATCCTATCCATGTGTACTCGGAAGAAAGATCTACTGAGTTCAGTGGGACTCCCAGGCTGCAATTCTAAAAACACTTACCATGGAAGCAAGTCCCATGGAAATCAATAAGGTTTACTTATGAGTAGATATGCATAGGATTGCATTGTGTCGCTTCACAATGTTTACTGAAAAAGTGGAGAATAGGGAAGAACTAGGCTCTTTAGACCTTTATTTTTAAGTAACAACTGCATATATTGTTCAGTGCATGAGATGACTGGGACTTTTCTTTAAGTGAAAGTACACTACCAAGATATTTCTCTATGTGATATAATTTCTCATGGCATTGGCATGATCCCATTTAAACACTGATAGTTTATAAAACTTAATCTGGATCTTCCGGACAACTATATATAGGCCTTCGTCCTTTCTTACTTGGGAAAATCTACTGACTTTAATAAGAGCTTAACATAAGGAGGAACTGAAATCTGGTACATGCTGTCTGCAAATGCTGAAACACTGTATAGAGGGGAGGGGAGTGGCTGCATCGAATACAATAGATAGGAGATAGTTGGTTTGTTCGTTTGCTTTATACAAAAAATCAAAGATGATCTGAACCATGAGTAAAAAGAATCCAATTTTCACATATGTTCCCCATACTTTCCATTAGTTAACATCATAGTGCTTATTTTTCTGATAATTAAAGAGACCTACTTCATGTGCTAAACCAAGCTTCATGAAAGGGAAAAAACTTGGGCACTCAAATGGATAAAGGACACTTCTACTTAACATCCCCAGCTATTTCATGGTAACAAAAGTAGATGCTAGAGCCATAGCTCTTTTCCACAGGTTGTAATTTGAGGAGTGAAGCTAGTGCAGCTGGAGTCTGGAAAAAAGGGCAGCAGGGGTTAAGGGCAAGGAACTGCTTTCATTGATAAAAAAGAGAGCAAATTAATGATCTGTGATAAATCCAAAATAGAACTGTGCTCGTTAAAAGGAAGTCGGCAGTTGTAAACTTGTTTGTGTGCTTGTTTGGTAAAGGAAAGGGGAGATTTGTCACCTCCACAAGAGCAAGAAGAACTAAACATAAATGCATATGAAAGGCGCTCACATGGTTTAAGGCAATAAAGGCATAAAAGGATTAAATTGACCTCACCTAACAAATGCATTGCATCTTTGCCTATTTGCAGGAATACATTGCTGTGCTATCTAGAGGAATGTCCGGTGTGTTCTGTAGAAATCTATCACTCATTAACCTGACAGGTTACAGACCAAGAGCAGTTAGACACTGGGA